AAAAAGTATATATTAATTATGTAATGAAATCGTAAAAACAGTTCAAACATTATAGAGCTAAATTAGAAAAAAAAATCATGTGTCTAATCTCATAAAAACCTATATAATATTCTATAAACAGTTTTATCAAGGTTCAAGCATCACATATAAATCCATGTTTGATAAATATTTACCATTGATGTCATTAGTTTCTTTCTCATAGAGATCTATATTCGCCAAAATTTAAATACTCTTGGATCTTAATAGTAAATATATTATTATTTTTTTATCATGTATAAATTTTCATTTTATACACCATTTTTTATCATTTTTTATACAACATTTTTTAAACATCGAGAGGTACCATTATAGGTAAAAAAATTTCATTTTCTTTGTGATATTTTATAACTATGTTGACATAATAATTATGATTATAGATTTTGAGTTTTTGTTTCTTCGGTATGGATGTGAATATCTTAAACTTTTAAATTAAAATTTTCATATCCTTTGTAATTTTTTTTCAATATATATCATATCTTTTGTTTTATCATTCGCATTTTATTTTTTTAATTAAATTTATTATTTTTAAAAAATTAAATGTTTATTTTCTCTTCACTTTTTAGTTTTTTTTTACGGTTTATCTTTTATATTTTCTTTCTTAATTTACTTTCATAATTAGTTTGAACTATTAGATTGTTTTTTTCAAACTAGTTTCGACTATTAGAAATTTATTTTTTTTCCTAATTAGTTTGTAATATAAGAAAGTTGTCTTTTTTTACTATTTTGTTCGTTACTTGGTAATAATTTTTTTCGTTTTCCAATTCTACTTTTACTTTTTTTTAATAAATTTTAATTGTTAACACATGTTGCTAAAACTAAACATATGATGACATGTGTTTAGAATTAAAGTTTACTGGAATTTTGTTAATTTACTGGAAAACGAATGGTATAATACCGTAGGTTTATAGTTGGTGATTGTTATATGAATTAGACCCACGAAGAAATTATTTACCATTCAAATTAACACTATACTTCGGTCATTTATAATCGTAAATCGATCAGAGTGTGATCCAAGATGGAAGATTCCAATTATATGTGGCTCCAAGCCATCTCTCGTGGTTACATTGTCTCTTTGAGAGTGATAATGCTCAGCCCTCTGTTGTGGTTCAAGTGGGAGATTAGTGAACCTGGTTGGCAAATATATAAGGTTCCCTTTTTTTTTTGTATATATAGGTTATGATCCCTTTTGTGGTTTGCATGTTTTGTTGTTGACCTCTTCGGCTCTTCCTTACTAATACAAGTTTAAGATCACGAAAAAAATATAGATGGATATACCTTTCTTATCTTTTTGACAATTTTCTTTACTGCGCATTGATAAATTTGTTTGTGCCTTTTTCATCGCTGTTTGCTAATAACTTCACTTCGTATTACTATTACTTGATTCAACCTCACTATTTAACTGATAAAAATACATTTTTGGTATGTCATGTTTTAAAAGTTTCAACACATACAAACTAATCGAAAAATAGATATGTGAAGAACTTCATTTTATATAAAAACACATAGTAGCAAACCCTTTAACAAAAAAAAAAAACACATAGTGTTATGTTATTTTGTTTCTTTCTCAATATAACACACAATGCCATTTTTAATTTATTAAAAAGTAACCCAAGATAAGTTTTTTTATCTTTTTAAATATTAGAATTAGATTCCGATCCGGACTGCTGCACCCCATGCATGTTCTAGTGAGCTTTTCATGTATATATAGCTTTTCATGTATATATAATATACTAGATTTTGTCTCGCGTCAAGCACGGG